GGTTAGCTGGCCATTGATGGCCTCCTGCTGCCTCGCTGATGGGGCGACAGGGTAGCCAGATCTTGGATTTGTCATCACTGAACAGGCAAACCCAGTCGTCTGATCACGGCGGTCTCGGGTTCTCAAGAGCTGCAAAAGAGAGCAAGCTCCAGTGCACAGGGGCTGTTTAAGTCTCTGTTGGCACCACAGTTGCTCCAGTCCCACTGGTCAAAGCAAACGGGATGACCAAGACCAGAGTCAATGGCGAGGGAACTGCAAAGGCCATGGACACCAAGGGAGCCACACTGCTTACTTTTCTGGCTTTTGCCTTCTCTTTGTCACTCCATTCATTCATCCCCTGCACAGATGTTATGAACACCTGCTATAAGCGAAGCCCTGGGCTAGACACTCAGGATGCAGAGAGTCTTTTTAGTGTTTGGAATTTGTACTCTAAGACTGACATTCAAAGACTAGGACATCCAATAAAAGAAATACCAGGATTTAAGGCTGTTCGGCTACGTAGGGGTGGGCCTGAGAATGCTCCTCTGTGCTCCTCAGCACATCTGCAGAAATTGCTACTCGTTAGTCAGAATTCTCTATTTATAGCCTCTCCCCACAAAAGAGGGAGTGAGACTTGGAGGAAAGTTGATCAAAAGACACAAACTCCAGTTGTGAGATCAATAGCCACTGGGGATGTGACGTAGAACAGAATGACAATAATTAACACCACTGAGCTTATATTTGAAAGTTAAGAGAGTAGATCTTTAAAGTTCTCATCACGAGGAGAAGAACTTTAAAAAAAAAATCTCTATGAGATGATGGATGTTAGCTAAATGTACTGTGGTACTCATTTTACAATATATCTAAGTCAAGTCCTCATGCCATACACCTTAAACTTACACAGTGCTGTCTGTCAATTACAGCCCGAAAATTCTGGGGGAAAAGGATAATCCAAAGCCAAAATACAACACAAAATGTAAAATCTTTTTAGTGTGTAGATTTAAAAATTATCATTGAAGAATTACTAAATTTCCTCGATAACCTATAAACGCAGGAAATTGTGTGAAAATAGCATTTTCGCCAAAGACCCAAATTCCAGAGGTGGGTGAGAGAAACAGTTAACACTTTCATCCTTAGGCCCCAAGGCTTTTGCCCATTTGTCAGAATAAATAGCTGTCTGGAACTTCCAATTCCTACTTGTGGAAATTACATTGACCGAAAGTCCAAATGAAAACCACTTTAAAAATAACTGCCTAAGCTGCCCTATTACGTGTATTTATTTTTTGCTAGGATTAGGACAGATTGCGTTGGCAGCGTAGTCCTTCATAAAGAGGGGGGTGGGGAACAGAGTTGGGTCTTCATTTTCTCACAAAAGGCACAATGGGAAGCGCATCTGTGAACATTGCATAATTTGTTATGTTCTACAAAGAGGTGGGTTTTTGTTATACACATACCAAAGCTATTTGGTACTGTTGCACCAATGATCTCTATTCAGGTCCAGAAAAGAAATTGGCCTCAGAAGAGTGAAAGGAGAGTAAATTTTTCTTTAAAAATTAGATACAGATTATCACTTCCAAATGCAGGGAGGGAATTTTACAAGGGACGGTGCACTGATTAGCTTTCCAATGGACATCCAGTCCTTTATGAGACACATATTAGCAGTGGTCAACTGTGACCAATGTGGTTGATTACTCTCGAGAAGAGCTGAACTGAGATTACCCATCTAATCTAATTGAGAAATGTTGGGTGAACTTGAACTGTTTCATGGACATGAATGACCAGAGAATTTATTTGATAAGACATTAAAAGCTGAATATGGTAACTATCTCTTTGATGGCTTGATACAGTCTTTCCTTTAGCTCATTTGCATGTCTTTCATATTTTTTTGTGAGTACTCTCCTGGTGATTACATGAGCGGCCTATATGAAAAAGGGGAAAAAAAAGTTTCTGTGCAAAATCATTATGAAAAAATTAGAAACCTTACCTTTATCAGTAAACACTCCTGACAGTCTTTATTTGGCTAACACTTTAAAAAGTGACACCAGCTTTTAAGAACAGTAATTAAATTTGGAAAACTTCCTAAATCCGTGGGTGTCTCACATGATGGTCCTTAAATTATTTTTTAAGTATTGTCTCCTGGTTTTATTCATTAAGATAAAAAAAGACATCAGGACGTTGGCATGTTATTTACCAACCTCCTTTGCATTTTGTTGTAAACTGGGCAGGGAGAGCTACTGTTGGTGGCATCTCGGTGAAATATTTATGGTAATCTTATCGACAGTATGGCATGCAGGTGGTATCAGATAATGAAGGGCTTTCTCTTCATATGCCTGCTAAATTTAAGATAAATTCTGCTGTATTCCCAATGACTTACTCACAGCAACTCAAAGATAGAAACTCCGAGTGTAAATTACAAAATCACACTTCATGTTACTAGTGACTCTTTAAATGGAATTTTTCATTGAAACTTTGTCATTAAAATAAAAAGGCCTTTTGGCTGTGCCCATACAAGCATAATAAATTGTATATGTTTGTGATACTGAATGACTCTTGCCCATATGCTGCACTGCAAAGCTACATGAATGAGGCATTTACCAAATCAGGCCCACCACATTAAACAGAAAAACAATCTTTATTCATGGTAACTTATCAGTTTCAATTAATCAACCTTAACAATGGAAATTCTGATGTGTTCAAGCAACTTGAAAGCCATAGGTCACCTCCAGGGCAGCCATGTTGTGTCTTTGTGCCCAAGGTTTCAAACAAAGCAACATCTCCAATAAATATACATACATATACATACATACATGTGCATATATATACATACCAATGGGTGTCTACAGCTCTGCCGTGTTATGCCAATAAGCATGCATGTGTATTGCCTATGATTTGTATCATAGTACATGTAATTGTTTTCCTTCAAAGTATGACTTTTTTGAGCTCTGCAAGTTTAAACAAAAGGAAAGAAATTTCCATTGGATGACCTTTCAGTTTCTGTGCTGCTATGTGAATAGCATTGTGCAAACCATTCCAATGGTTTTGAAAAGGGGTAACCATTGGTTTGATTTGGTTACACGGTTTAGTAAAGAGCTCCCTCCCACTGCCTTAGGGTCTGTGAAAGGTCTGTGACCTGTTTAGAACTGCCAAGGGAAATGTCATGTCGCCCCTCCCAAATGGGAGTATCTGCATTCATTTGATCAGTATAAAAAATGATTGGGGATGGCGAGATCAGTGCTTTTGAATTGCAATTTATAGCAGTTTACAAAAATGCACATTGTTGGAAAAGAAAACATGGAAGTGTTTCTTTCTAAATTGCATTACCTGTGAAATGTCATTAGTCTTTTAAGGATATTTACATCCTTTTTTTTTTATTATTATTTAGGAGACTTATTCCAACTAAAGAAAATCAGAATTTTATTACATTGTGATTTTTAAACTTGTATTTTGGTTTTGACGGCAGAATTTAAAGACAACAACATTTCTGAGTTCTTAGGATAAACACAATTTGTTGTCAGTTCCATTTGCTAATTCTCCGAGAGTCTTTGCTAATCAGTTGTGTTAGCAGAAGATTCCTGATTACCTTTCCCAGATTATAGAGGAGATCCATTTGTTGGCAAATGCCTTGTCTGCTGATTTCGAATAGTGAGCCTGAAATCATGGGCGTACTAACTCTACCAGGTGTTCATTACTCCTTCAATGGTATCCTAGGTAAATGTCTTTGTCAGATGCATACTTCATAAATTATGGCACCCCTAGATTCATCTACACATACACCCAGCTTCATAAAAGGAAATGTTATTTCTTTTCATTAAATGTGTAAAAGAATACACAAACTTTAAAAAAAAAGTTTAGGGTAGGCTGTTCAAGTTCAGAAAGGCTTAATGCAGCCACTTGAGTCTCTGGGGTACAGAAAACACCTTCTACACGATGTCTAGGAATCTCGAAAGCTCCATCTCTTCGCCTTAGGCAAGTGGGTGGAGTAGGAGATTATTTTGAAGAATTCTTCTTTTCCTACTAAAAATTACCTTGGGAAGAGGGCCTCAGAACTTCCCTGGCTGATACTTGACTCGAGAAAAGAAAGGCCCTGCTTCAGAAAAGACTTGACCCAGATAGACTCCCTAGCACTCCACTTTGAACCTCCCAACCATTGAAAAGCGAGGTTGTCACGTTTTTATCTTTGTTCATGTTAAGCCTTGGAATGACAGCCTGTCTCTGTGTCCCCCTCTCCCACCGCCCCGGCTCTAAGTGTCCACATTGACACCTACCGGTGACCACAGGCTGCAATTCTTTGTTGCCTTGTCCACGCTCCTGGCTTTCACTGGGATTAGCTCGAGGCCTTTGTCCCCCTTTCAAAGCGGGAACATCACATCCCATGTTGTGGCTTTCCTGTCTCAGACCCCCAAGGCTTTCCTCACAATTTACACACCAGGTAAATGTCCCTCCCTACGGAGCAGAGAGCACAGCCTGGGGGCGGGGGGGTGGGGGTGGGGGGGAACCTCCCTACTCCCCAACTTCAGAACCCCTCCCTGCCAATAGGGTTTTTTTTCCTTCTCATGCAGAATTTTCTATTTTGTATGGAGGAAAGACTGAACATGCAAATGGAAATTTAAATCTTAGTTAGGTCCTTGGGCCCAAGCACAAGACAAACCCTGCCTTTTAAAATTCTCTTACAACTGCTCCTAATTCTAGGAAAGGGGCCCTCAGCAGAAGGTCATTTACTGACCTCGGTCACAGGCTCCTAAGACCATTTCCACAGTCTAGGGCAGCGGGAAAACCGTCTCAGAGGAAAACTTGGCTGATGCAAGCTGTTTTGAAGGCCAAGGAGCATCTGACCGCCTGACCTCCCCTTCCCCCACCCTCCCAGCCCTCTCCTTCAGGTCACTGAAGGGAACCCCACCTGGAGCCAGAGCTGGGAGGACCCACTAAACATGAGGCAAAGAGCTCTGCATGACAAGTGGGAAGTGGTTTGTGTATAGCAAGTAAAACAAAATTCACATCTATTCGTTTTGCCATATTTTTAGGGAGGTTGTCAGAAACGCCAGAGGAAGAGCCTTTGGAGAAGCCATCAATACCCCAGAACACCCCAGTGAACGATATGGATGCTACTGAGTAATGGGGCAGGGCACTGGGCTGCGCAGAGCGGACCCACAGAGTGGGCCCTCCCCTTCCCGGCATAAGGCCTGCCTCCCTGACAAGGGATACTACCGCCCAGGCATTTTTAACATCACAGGTCTGTCTCCCCAGATGATGTAGACTCACTCGTGACCCGCACCTGAAGTGAAGAGGACGTGACGTGCGCCCACTGTGAGCACCTTTCCAAGCCCTTAAGGCAGGTGCTCGCTCATGCTGGGTGAACATGACACACGAACTCCGAGGGGCTGCCAAATCCACTGGGGCGCTTTCCTGGGCTCAGCAGTGTGTCCCAAAGCCTTAGGGTGGGGAGGGACGGACTTCAATTAAAGAGTTTGAGGCACTAAACCTCCACTCCCTCTCTTCTCCATCCAGCGTCTCTCTGTAACACAAAGGCAAACTGATTTGCTGCCTCCTCGCCCACCAACTAATCGCCATGAAGGCGAGCCTTAAGGCCTGGTCCAAGGGGATTTTAAATTTCCTCTAGGGCGGTCCGCTCTTATTTTACGTCGGTACTGGGCTCCCAGCCTTATCTTAAAAGCTGTAAACAATTCTTTGGTAAGTGGGAAACTCCTTGGAGTTTTGCTTCCCGGTCAGTATCAAGGCCATGATTCACGTATTATTCTTTCCAGAATGTCAGGTACCATTTGCTGAAAGGCCAGTCCGCTTTCTCACGTGCGTAATGTTCAGCTTGTTCCTTTCTGTTCCCCGAACTACAAGTTAAGCCCTGCCTGTAGCCCCAGTTTCAGACTCTGGATTACAAATTTCTAGAGCGATTTATTAAGTCTCAAGAAATATATTTGTGGTAACTGTCACATAAAGCTGATATACTCTGGTGTGAAAGAAAGCTAGAGAGGCGATTTATTTGTGCGTAAACGGCACAAGATTTAATTGGAGAGAGACGTGTTATTCTCGACGCAAGTCCATGGGGTGGCATAGCGCCGGAGAGCATTATTCGAGCTTCATCTACTGTGCACTATATGCCACCGTCTCTAAAGCAGTGTTGCCCTAGAAACTTGTTTTAAATCTGCTGCTATATATCAACACCTTGTTTTAGCAGTCCTTGGCTGAATTACAGTTACACAGTTTGGCGCTTCTTTCAGATTTCCTCCCATCAGTATGGCTAAAGAAAGGAATTTTTCTCCTTTGGAAATGAATTGGCTTAATTAGTAAGTAGATTAATGGCAATTGCTGGTGAGTTGGGTTTCCAGCAGAGTTTCAGCAGAGAGGGTTAATCGGAGTCAGGTCTGGAATCTTTCCCAGAACTGGCGGCCAGCCATTTCCACCAACCAATCAACCCTACAAGAAACGAGGGGGAAATGAAATAGAATTTACATTCTCTGTACTATTAGCCTGGACAGAAATTCCTTGGAAGCGGCCTCCTAGTTGGGTGCAGCACAGACGGTTTCATTTCAGAATTTTAACAGAAAGCTTGAAGGGTTTCACCTTCAAGATATATCTGAGTACCAGAGCAGAATTTCAAATGGCACAGGGAGTGCACTCCACGGAACATCCAGGGCGCACGGAAACGCCTGAGGCTCTCTGTCAGTTTCAGGTTCCCTCAAGTTGCAAAAACCTCCCCAAAGTTCGGTCCTAATCTGTTATCTACCAGAAGCCTTTAAAAAGTTCAGTTGTATGTTTTGCCGTCTTTTCACTTATTTTTTTTTCCATAGCAATAAAAACGCATTCATAGTTTAACGTGCAGCTGCATTAGTCTTGCAAAAAAAAAAAAAAATTCCCTGCTGAGAAATGCATATAATAGGAAAAACAGATCGGCTGGACAGCAGTGTAATTAATGCCAGCAAGGGCCGAGGCCGGTTTCATAGTTTGTCTTTTGAGGATATCAAGAGGAGACCTGGTGAAAAATGACGCATGCTTTAGCATTTCAGAAAGCTGGCAACTGGCAACGCTTTTCCTTTTTGCTTTGACTTTCTGCCTCAGAACAAAGAGGTCGGCAGAACTAGCTAGGTTGTAATGAGTTCTATGTCCCTAGCACATTAAGTGCATCATGGAAACATATTGTATCGAAATAGTTTGGAGGAGAATACCGGGGATGAAAGAGAATGGGTGCTTTGATCAGCTCCCTGGGGTCCTGAGTGCGCACAGACTGACTTGCAAGGAGTTATTCAGCCCCAGCTAGACACACTTACAACACCATTCAAAGAAATTTGCATATCTGTAATTTATCACATCGGTCCAGAACATTTCTGCAAGGTAAATAAAAGTTGGCTGAATAAAAAAAAAATCAATCATCGCAGATATAGAAGAAACTGTGAAGCCAGTGTTTCCATTAAAAACATAAATAAATATGTCCATAAAACATGACGATTTAGGGGCCCACTTTATTTTAAAGCGTCCTTAGAGCAACAGGTTGTGGGCTGACAAAGACAAGAGTGGCCACAGTGTTTCTGCGCTTCTACTTTAGGGGAGGGTACGTGCAGCTTCCCACTAGAATAAAGGCAGAAAGTTGAATGAGATGCGTGTGGCTATAACCAGCCCGCGACATGCAGAGAAAAATTAGTACACACTTGGAGGAGATGTGAAAGATGGCTTAATCTCTTTGGCGTCTGCAAGAGCTAAGGTTAAATCTCATTTCTTCTCCTGTGGATTTCATTGCCAAGCCCTGGTTGCTGAATTCAGACGCTCAAGAGGATGAAATGTCCCCACACTGGTCAATAGGAAAACTTGCTTTCGAATGCCCCATGAGAACAAGTGAAATTTTAACAGGCAGGCATTGTTCTGAGCTTTTAAACAACCCAGTTAAACAGCAAACAAGAATCTTCAACTTGACCTTGGAAAAGGCCGGTGTGCCTGTAGATCATCTATCAAACAACTCTGGATGACAATGATATATTTCTAAGTACTGTCAGATGAAAAGATTGATAAATTTGCCGCTGCAAAGTGAGAACTTTGAAAACAGGCAACAGGCAACTCGGTGCGCTGCCTCCACTGACTCCTGGTCTGTCCTTGCCACCCCATCCCCACCCCTCCACCCTCGGCCTTGGGGCCAACTCAGTAGAAGAGGGCCAGTAAATCAGCACTGTAATATTTCTTAAGGGGCACGGAAAAGCTGTGAACAGTACCACTCATATTAAACGCAGTATTTCTCTGCTTTCGTGGGGAACAAAAGTCATAGCAAGACGTCTTTATGGCTAATTCAGTCAAAGGCACATCTTGGTTCCCCCCCCAGAAAGGTCAGTGTCGTTGTGTTTGGTCCACCGAGGGGGTGTTTTCACACTGAAAACTGAGCCAGCTGTCCCTGTCATACCCTCGCCATTGGGGAGCGCGCACTAGCCATGGTTATTAGGCACATTCTACACCTGCAAAATATACCGATTTCCAAGACTTTTCAAGACACCCCCCTCTCCCCCGTTCTCATGCCCCCTCCTCTTTCGTCTACTAAACTTTGACAACACAATTCAAGCCCTGGATGAAAGCGTTGCAAGCAAGGGGAAAGCTGGGGAGGGGGCAGCTCAGCCAGCGCCTCATGGTGTCTATTGAGCAGCCATCAAAGAAATGAGGCATCAAGTATGTTTTCAAAAGTAAGGAAAAACTTCCAAATAAGTGCTTAGAGACATCACACGTTTGCTATTGCCAAAATGCAGATTTTTGAACCCTAATATTTAATTCTATGCACCACAAAGTTGGGTGAGGGGTTATAGCCAGGTGGCCCTCATTTAGAATTGGCTCTTTTAAACGTTTCATTTGTATTTAGCATGTCAGGACATAAATTTTTTCTGAGTTGCCCCAGTGGAAGTCCACATGCCTTTTTGAAAATCCAAATGCCAACAAACTGTTGTCATCCATTTCACAAGGCTTGCCCAACTGGATTTCATAATAAAACTCCTTCCAGAAACATCTCCCAGCTAGCCTTATCACCAGAATCCCAATTTCAAAGGCTTGTACTCTGAAACTGGATACCTAGCTGTTTGAGGGACGCTCAGTGGTCCAAACAAGAAAGGAGCTAAAGGGGATCCTGTGCGATCGCCGAAAAGAAATCGTAAAACTAGAGATAATTAAAAAAAAAAAATCACTTCTGGAGTGAGAAGGCTCCAAGTGCCAGTTCGTCTGAGGCAATAGTGCAAAAGTAGCTTTCTAACTAGGAGCACTTGAAGGTGGGGCTGGGAGACTAAGGATTTCTATCTGGCTGCAAGGTTTGGGGGTGCGGGGGGTGAGGAGAAAAGAGGATTTAATTAGCCGCTGGTGAGTCTCTAATCCCGATCTTTGTCTGGTCCTTCCTCCCAAATTACCAAGAGCTACCGGAGAAGTCCCCAGGGTGGGCAAAGTGCAGGCGTGCCCAGGACGCCTTGGGTTCCCGGGACACAGGCCGAGGTGAAACACACTGCGTGCCACAGGAGGTGCTGAGAGTTTGCCTCTCACCAGTAGGGAACCTAGACTCTCTCCTGGCGCCTGGGGGCCTCCACACAGCCCGCCACCATCAAGCAGAACGCCGGCGCCTTTCCAAAGCGAAGTCAGCGCATCAGGTCCTTTGGAACAGGTGCCGAAGCCCCGGGGAGGGGGTTGGAGTGAAGCTGCGGAGATCAGCCCAGGGCCAAGACCCCCCCCCACCCCCGCGAGAGGCAGGTTTAGGTCCCCAGGGACCCAAAAGTAGGGGCGGGCTAGAAACCCGCATGCCCGCCACCGTAGCTGCCAGCGCCGGCGCCTCCGCCCAGATGCAGAACCAGCTCGCCACAGCCTGCGCCCCGGGCCATGGGGCCCTCTGCAGGCGGCTGCCCGAGGGCTTCCCGCCCAGCCAGGGGGCGTAGTTACCCCGGGCCTCCCCCAAAGAAGCCTTGTGTCCTATCTCCTGCCCCCCGTCAGGCCGTTCGCCCCCTTCTCTGCTCGCCGCTTCCCGGAGCCCCTCTTGGAGACTTCCATGCGCAAAGATAGCAGAACTGCGGAGAGCCCGGCGCCGGGCAGCCACTTCCAGCCTCGAGGGAAGACGCACAGCACCCGAGCCCCGACTGCCCTGGGAGCAGGGGCTAGGCGGGCCTCGGGGGAGACTCGACCGACTCCACCCCGGCTCTCCGAAACCCTGGGAACTCGGAGCAGCGGGCGGGGCGCATGCGCGCCTCCGGCCAGGGTCCCTCCCCAGCCCGCCGAGTTTGGGCAAAGTTTGGCGAGGTTTGTCTTGCCAGCGGCGGACGTCCCAAAGGCCGGGCTGCCCTGAGGAGGCGGCCAGGAGCCCCCCGGAGTTCCGGGAGCCGGCTCGGCGGGGGCCCGAGGGCTGAAAGGCGGCAGAAGGTGGGGAGAAGGAGGCCTTTTGTGTGTGGCACAGGAGAGTCACTTGCGCACAAAC